AAGAAAAAAAAAAGAAAACAATTTTCATCAAAGATAACATGTTTGGAAAGGTAGATTTTACCATAAATGAGCAATAGATAGGTTACCCTTTAGTTTGTCTAATTCCACTGTTAATAAGCCTCTAGCTCTTATTCATTCAGATGTTTGGGGCCCTTTCCAAACTAAAGGGTAACCAAATGAAGTGTGTGAAGACAAATGAGAAGTGTTAACAATGTGCTGAAGCTTCTTAAATAAGGGATGACCAAGTCTGAGATGCCAATTTGGACTTGGATTGTCTATTGATGCAGGTACAGGTAGGACAGATGTAGGTGCAGGAGTGGTGGAAATAGTACTACTAAAACAAGATCAAGGTTGAGTAGCTGTAGAAGTCATAGAAGTGAATGGAGCATGGTAAGTATGTGGAGCATAATAAAGACCATGAGAATGATGACCTTTATACAGTATGTTCTTGGTAACTTTGTCCTGAACAAGAAAACCATTAGCATCAAATGTAATAGAACAATTATTATCTGAGACTAACTTATGCACAGAGAGAAGGTTAGAAGAGATGTGAAGAACATGGAGAATATTATGAAGATGAAATGGAAGAGAAGGAGTAGATAGGAGTCCATTACCAATGTAATGAATAGGAAGAGTATAGAACCATCACCAATGGTAACTTGATCAGTACCTTGATAAGGTTGAGAATCAGAGAGATGGTTTAAGTCATTTGTGATATGACTAGTAGCTGCAGAATCCATATACTAGGTAGGGGGTGAATTCTAAGAAGTAGAAGCAGAGGCCACATGGGCTTTAGGTGTGGATGGCCAAGCTGAAACCTGAAAGCTTTGGTCCATTCGATGCCAACAATCTAAAGCTGTATGATTTTGTTTGCCACAAATCTGACACACAATTCCTGAACCAGTACTAGTTTGAGATGGTTGATATGGTTGGTGTGTTTAAGGAGAATTGTAAAAAATTTTCCTTCCTTCTCTGAGGTAACCTCTGAAATATCGGCCACCTCTGAGGGAGGAATGACCTCGAAAACCTCTTCCTCTAGTAGATCCACCTTGATGAGAGTATGTTTTGTGGTGGCAGCATAGGCAAAAGGAATCTCAGAAGTATGAGACTATTTATTCGCATGTTCAATAAGTATCTCTTCAAAACAAAGTAAGGAACACAAAGTTTCAAGAGTAATACAACCAGTTCTAGCTCGAATAGTGGTCTTAAAAGCATAGTACTCATCTGGAAGGCCATTTAAGATGTATAAAACTATATTTTCATCATCAACAGGTGCACAAGCTAGAGCAAGTTGGTCTACTATAGTTTTAAATTCAGTGAGATAAGCATCCATGGTTAATTCTTTCTTAGTGAGTCGACTCATTTTATTTTTGAGTTGATGGATATGAGAACGAGAGAGAGAAGTAAATCGATATTGAAGAGCAATCCATACCTCACATGTTTTACAATGGAAGACAGAAGTGAAGATAACTAGAGAGAGAATGGTTGTAATGCAATTGAGGAGATGTGCATCAATGCACATCCATTTTTCATACTCAGGATTTGAGATCTCTCTGTTCTCAGAGTCAATGATCACAAATAAAGGACAAATTTGTGATCCATATACAAAACCAATGAGATTTGTTGCACGCAATATGTTCTGTAATTGATTCTTCCAAACTATATAATTTGTAGAATCTAACTTCACATTCACAAATGAACTGAGATTTGAGATGAATAAAGAGAGATTAAAAGGAATTGATGGAGACGATGATGAATTTGCCATGGCAAAAGCTTTGAAATCTTCAAAGATCTTTGAAGAAATCGATTTTAGGATTAGTACTCATTAGAGTTTCTAAAGCTCTGATACCATAAAGAAATACCTTTGTATCTTATTCCATACCTTGTTCAATAGATATTACAGAGTATTTATATAGAGAGATTAACTAATTAACTGTGGTTACACTTAACTAGAGTTCTAACGACTTTTCTCTTGATATGATTAATCTAACTACCTAACTAACTCTGCTATTATAACTGTAAGCTTTAGCAGAGGAAGCCATGTCCGGCAGCCGCATGCCCTGCAACTTTAGTTTCAACTGTGGCCTAAACTGTGATTGCACTGTTATGAGCTGAGCTGTTGTGGATTGAGCTTGATCTTTAGAATCTTGAGCTTGATTACTAGTGGTCTTAACAGTATTGATGCTCTAATTTATATGTTGTGAATACATATATTTCTATGCATTCAAGTGATGTACCATATATTGTGCACTAAGCTAAATAGCTCCTAAATATATATGTAGGTCAAATTGGGAGGAATCATATGCAAAAGCATTTTGAAGAAGCAACTCAAGCGTTGAAGTTAGATTTCACTATAACATATAAGAGTTTTAGAGATCAAATGTTTTGGTCTCTAAAAATGAAATTGTTGTTGCAAAAGATATTTAGGAACTAATTTCCATTGTTATGAGGATAGTGGCTAAAAGGTCGTCCTAAAAAGTCAAAAACAAGGCTTTTAGCGACAAAATTTTGAAATTGTCAGTAATAAATAGACTTTTAGGGACAAAATAATTTGGTCTCAAAATGATTTATCTTTTGAAAAAAAAAATTTAGTTCCAAAAGGATAATAATTCGTCACTAATATCCAATTTTTGTTACCAAAAATATAATAACGACATTTTTCGTAACAAAATTATTTGATCTCTAAAAAATAATGTTGTCCCTAAAATTTTAGTCTCTAAAATATTCATCTTTTGTAGTGTTTATAAGTAGACATTGTGGCTAGTTGGAAGCTATTGGAAGCTATTGGAAGCTGCCTTTTTTTTAGGTGCTTTATGTAAATATTATTATAAAAATTATTGTTTATTTCCCTTTCTTTTCTTTATTTTTTGAATCTAAAAAAAATGAGTGATTACATTTTTGATAAATTTGTGTATAAGCTCTCTAGCTTTTGGATGTGGAGAAATTTATGCTGCTTTGGATGTAATGAGATATACTTGTGGCGTTGCTGCCTACTAGCGTACTATAGAAAATTCTATCTTTTCTATTTTCGAAGCACTCAAAAAATATGCAGCAACATAACAGGCTACTTTTTCAATTGTTGAAACATCAAAGACTGCTAAAGAAAGGACATGAGTGTTGAAGAAATGAACTATTTTTGTCCTGGTGAAATGCACTTACCAGTTATGATATAGAGCTCTAAAAGTAGAGTTCTAAACAGAGTTTTATTGAGTTGGTAGGTTCTAAAAAAAAAATTTAAGTCAAAATATCACATTAAGGTAAACTCCACATAACTACCACATCATTAGAGTATGTTTTAGAGCTCTTGCTCTAGAGCTTTGAAGCATTTTCATGCACTTATAGCCTTTCATTATTGTTTTCCTTTTCATGTACTTGCTTGCAAATGAATAGAGTTGTGAACAAACTCGAGTTTGATTTCGTTAGACCTCATTCGAATTTGGTTTATTAATTTTTTTTTTACGTTCGAATTCGAGTTCATTAAATTTTTATTAAACAAATCTAAACATACTAAAACTCAGCTCGTAAGCCTGGTTCGTTAACTGACTTGTTTAACATTATTATTTATATATTAAATAATGTAAAAATATATATAAAAAATAAGGTAAATATGTTATTTATATATTTAAAAAATATAAATGTAAATAATAGTTAATTATAGATAGTGTGTGGGTGAAAATCGGACCACACTGCTTGCTTAGTGACCAACTGGAGAGCACAGGAAGAATAGATGACTTCAGCAACCTGAAACAGAAAGAAAAGGCTCCGGCGGTGGTTCTTCCACCCGGGGGTACTCCGACGATCAAGTCAGTATATCTCTCAAAGATAATCAAGTGCAAAACTTAATACTCAAAACATAAATTGCATACCTTAGACCCACGGGGGTGCCTCTCTTTTATAATATACTCAATCCAAGTCCTACTAGAAGTATGACTTCTATGAACTCCAATTTAGTGCAACCCTTGCATACAGGAAGGGAAGAAAAATAAAAAGAAGAAAACAAAACCTTAAGAACAAGCACAAGACAACAACCAAGCATCGACTCCCTACCACCACTCCAGCTCCAAACCTAACTTCCTTTCATTTCTTTCTGAACTTCTCCTGCTCCTATTTCCGAATCTTTACTGCAGATTTTTTTTATCAGCCCTAAAAAGGCATCCTCTAAGTCCGTCAGGCGGAGCCCAACAATATTGTCTAGACCTTGCATTTTATTCCCCAAACTCAATCTGGAAAGCACACCTTCTCACACTCCCCACCCGATGAATCAAGAACCTGAACAACCCTCCCTCCCCTGAATTGCAGACTATGCATACCAAAAGACAACTCTCCCCTCTTAGGCTTCACAAAAATCCTCCCAGATCTCCCATTGTGCCACCTCTCTCAGCTTACCACAGAACCACTGAACTAAACAACCAATGTGAGAGAGAGAGAGAGAGAGAGAGAGAGAGAGAGATAGAGAGAGAGAGTGCTGATAGCCCCTCCCCCTATCCACCACAAACAAATGCCTTCACCCATCATCATCATCATCATCCATGAGATCAAAAAATCTCCAGCCCTTGCCAATTTAAGATATCATCCTCCCTCTAAACTACAATATTATAAAAGGTTGGACCATTACAAACAAACTTGCAAAGTTAATGGCTAACAAGAGGGGGGGGGGGGGGGAATCAATATATGACATATAGGACACAATAACTCCCTGCTAGTATTCAGTCTTTACTATGCCAAGTTCATGATATTCAATCTATCCTTATAATTGCAAGACATGCCATAATTCCATGCAAAACTACAACCACATTATGGGTCACTAAAGTAAGCCCATATCTCAAAGAATGTGTACATGTCAGTCACTCTGTTATTCATTTTTCATTTAGAAGATTTTGTTTTCCCATATTTCTCTTCTCTTCCTCTCCTACCAAACATAGCATTAAAGTCCAATACCACCAATTCGAGTGTCAATAGAATCCACAGCATTAACAAATTGAATGAAGAAGTAATAAATCAACACACAGAAAAAGAAGTATTCATACCACTCCATGTTTGTGTGCAATGGTATCAACATTAGAATGGTCACCCTTAATGCCAAGCCATCCCTTCGAATTTGATTCTTCATCATTTATACTAGTTTTTAGAATATCTATTTGTTCTTTGCACGCTTTAACAAAAATTGTAACCTGCAAAACATAGGATTGGTAAAATTCATATTTGTTATTGAAAGATACAGAATGCAAATCACCAACCAGGACCTAAAAAGTCAGACTTGTACGATTCAGTTTAGTATTAGCAAAGGTCTTGATCTTGTGGAAAAACAAAACCAAAATGGTGAAATCATTGATGTTTAATTTGTTTGATTTGTGGATGAGGTAGCGAGATAAAGTTCCCTCTGAAACTCCAACAACCCTTCCAAGTCCCAAATCCCAAATCTGTGAATACATGCATGCACATATGTTTGAGAGAGAAAAAAATAAAAATTATTACCTCTATCCCAAATTGTTAATCCATCTTTTCGATTTGGGATGTCCCGAAATATTTTGAAAAATCAAAGCCTAAAGTTTTATAATTTCCCAAAAGTTTACCTTCTAAATAGTTATGAATATATTAAAAAGTGGGAATAAAGAGGTAATTTTAGAAATCAATGCCTTCTCCATTTAAATTTGAATGCATTATTTAAATGTCCCCTTAAAAAGTAGAAATTCCTAAAAGAGACTAACATTATGGGATGGAGACAATAAATGATAAAAAATTTTCCCCGAACTTTGACACACAGTAGGAACTCATAGAAACTCCAGCAAATTTTTACATGACTAACCTACAATTCTACATATCAAATTGTGAGGCAAGCACACATGCGACCTAAAATCAGAACACCATATATAATTCATGGCAGACAGACGGCATTCAACTTGTACAGCACATATATATGCACTAAGCCATACTTCTTCAACAGGTTGTTTTATTTCCAAGAGGAATATCTTGCCATCAACACCGCTAAAAGTCTATTTTTAGGAAGATATATTCAAGGCTACAATGAGGTCAATCTAGATTGAATCAAGAGAAACCAGATTAGTGATGTCATAGAACTAAAAAAAAGTAGGGAATGATATAATTGATTACAGAAGTTGAAAAAATCAAGACAATACCTGAAGGCATTCTTATAAATAGATATTTAGTCATTTTACCATATACTCAATGAACACTTTTCACAAGTTTTCATAAGCAGTGAAAACTATTTATAAGGAATCAATTACACCTCAAACCAGACTGGGCACCTTCAAAGTCGGTTAGAGGGTTACATGAAGCAAGTCCCAGAACATATGCCTTGCTGTAGATTCATTGTTTAAGCATTCACTAACAAAGGAGCAAATACCCAGATCTAGCTTTTGTTTAAGGGTGAATTACAGGCATGAAAACAACATAAATGCATCTTGAAACTACATTCATCATGCATGGTTTTGAAATTTAATTTATAATCCAAGTTAAGGCGCTATCTCTTTTTATCATTATAACCAAAAAGGGAAGTTCAAATGATGTATTTTGTTATACCAAAATGCTATTTTTGTTTTGTTTTGTTTTACCTAAAAGCACTCCATTCAAGCAAAAGAAAAAAAAAAATTACTAAAAAAAAAAAAACCAACACTTTCAATCTTTAAAAAAAGAATTTTGGGGTCTTTATAGTGAACTTTTTTTAGATTTTTTCACAAATATTTTAAGTCTTAGGTGCATCTAGATTATATTCATGTAAAAATTTAAAAAGAAAAAAAAAATAAAATGAAAAAAAAAACAAAAAAATTCAAAAACTAAACCAAACATCAGATTCATGATGATCAGTATGGATTACGAGTTATGACACAACATCATTTGTTAATAAATACATTGGCAGAGCTTTTTAAATCACTCAAAAACTGGCAAAGGGTAGTTTTCCAAACTTACTTCATGCTCAATGCTATCTCTCTCCTGTTCAGTGGTGCGGTGCAGGTCTATGTAATCCTTCTTATGCTTCATCAAGAACTGGTCCAAAGTTTCTATGCTTTCAAGCTGACAAATGAAAAAGGCAAATATAATACTCTTAGTAAATTTGAATATAAATATCTTGAAATGCTTCCACTTTTTGAAAGGAAAAGAAGAGTGAAATGCTTCCTTAGAAGCAAGTGGCAACATCATTTCCAACAAATAACTTTCTCACAATGAGAGATATCAACAATATCAACAGAAAAGCATAAATGTGTGTATCATAGTCACAAAGCATATACCGTCTTCAGTGCAGCTTTGGTAAAAGATGACCTTTGCCGAGGTTTGTGCATAATGAAAGACGCCAATATGGCTGCCAGTTTGGCCTGTCAACAATAACCACACCTTAGTTAATTTATACCTTAGTTAATATTATATATATTGACTACAAATCCAAAACTAATATGTAACACATTTAGAAGCTCAGATTGCTTTCATAAGTGCTGCAAATATGTTCAAGTAGAACACCATAATTGAATACTATTATTGAATTGCACATTCTACTCCTCAGAAAAGCACACATAATCTTTCTTGGCTCTAAAACTAACGCAACAGGGCAATTAAAATTTGACCCCAATTTTCAATACTAAAGACAAGACTGTTTGATGGGGCCCAAAATTCTCTCAAAAACAAGCAAATTAAAGATGCTTCTGTACTAGATTCGAGATATAAATTTCATATATATATATATAAAATTTAAAAAAAGAGGTATATTAAACACAAGTGCAGCATGTTAGATTTACTGCTACCCAAAACAGCTACTTCTTGAACACATTGATTTTACAGATCGATTATTTCAGAAGCCCTACTTAGCCCTACTTGCCACTTGGTGACCACAGACTACAGAAAATAGTGGACTGATCCCAACTAAAGAAGTTCAAGAATCAATCTGATCCTGGACTTTAACATTGGCTATCTCGTGTCCTGATTCCTGCCATACAAAATACAAGGGAGAGGCTCACATTTGTTTAACAATTTTATAACATCCAATATCTCAGGTCGTCATCTTATCTGAGTCCATGTACCTATTTTTTCCTTTTTTGTAACAAATATTTTTTTTCTTTTCAAATACGTGTCTTTAGATAAGTAAATAGATACTTTTCTAGAGTTCAATAGACCACAGGTAAAACCTCAACCTTTACATGCTTGTCATATTTACCTTCAACATTCAGATGTGAAGACAATGTAATGCCATCCAAAGGAGAGCGTTTAGAACTGATCAATGAAAACATTTATATAATAGCAAGCTTAAAATAATACTAATAAAAATAAAAAAATCCGAAGGATCACAATAAATTTATACAATACAAGCAACCATAAAGACGGTTTTTGCATTAAACCTACATATGACACATCAATTAAAATGGACGATCAGTTTGAAATGACTAATCGATTCAATGAGTTAACAAACCTCATTATAACCCAGAGATAAAGCTGTTCGGTGCACAGCATCTTTAAAATCTTCAGTTCTATCTCTGATTCTAGCCATACCCTAACATCACCAACAAACACCTTCTGATCTTCATTAAGAAAACTCATAATCTTAAAATAATTCATAGACAGATAAAGTGTAAAACAACAATACCACAACAGCGAATTATCAGCCTCTGCAGTGAGCAACAATGTTAATCTAACAGGAGACCTAGTGGCTTCTAACAACCATTGGCAGCTCAATGATCACAACAATTGCAGCCGATGTTCAACCTGCACCAACACAAGTTTTTATTCATTTCCCTAGAAATCCCTACAGAATATTACATGGTAAAGCAAATGTTACTTTCCCATTTACAAATGGGTAAATTACACTTTGCCCCCCTAAAGTTTCACATATAACATGCTTGTGTCTGTCTGTGTGTATCAATGTCAATCTTTGAGGCAATATACTTGCCTAATCATGTAATTTTGAGGCAAAATTACTCTGTTTAGGCTATAATATTTATCAGCAATATTACAATTTTTAAAAAAATTACTTAGAAAATATTCAGATAAATATATTTATAAATCACAGCCATCCTAGATAAGATTCACATCACACTAATTTTAAATGTATATCATATAACTCATTTTCAGATAAAATTTCAGATACCTTTTTTTGTGTATATCATATATCATATATCAGCAATACTAATTTATCAGCAATACTAATTTTATTCACAGATTCTTTCACAAAATTTTATTCACAGATTCATTAAATCACCAACCATATAATTCTTTCACAAAATTTTTAGATAATGTCTCCAACAATTCTACTCAAAAGTTGAACAGGAAATACAAACAAAGAATGGGATCCTAGTTTCTGTTAGGTATGAAAAAGTAATTGATGCATATATGTTAATCTGTTAATAAGCAAAGCAATCTTTTCTCCAGAAGAATAGAGAGGGAAAAAAAACTAGATTTGAAAAGGAAAAAAAAAAAAAAAGAAATGCAGCAAAAGAAGAAATGAAGAAATTTGCATTACAAGATTGAAAACTCATATTTGAATATATCTCTTAAAAACCCATTACAAAACTCAGATTTGAACAAGATTGAAAACCCATCACAAAACATGTGTCCAATAGAAGGGAATATATATATCTTCTCTTTCCAGCTCTAGAAAACACAGAAACACCAAATCAAGAAGCAAAAGGTCCAAATCTAGAGACCCATTTCATAAAAAAACACTGCAGAGAAACGCAAAACAGAGAATAAGAGAAAGAGACAGCAGAAAAAGAGCAAAGAGAAATCAGGTACCAAATCGGCGAGCGGAGAAGATGCGGCGGTGACTGGCAAGGCTAATAGAGGCGACGGTGATGACAATTGGTGTGGTGGAGGAGCAAGAGGTGAGACAAATGTGGTTTACCAATCTGCGAATGCGTGAGATGTTCGAGGAGTTAGGGATTAATTTCAGAATTGATGGTGTGTGTGTATGGAAGCTGTGCTGTGTAATGTGTTACTGAGTCTCTGTATACGCATACCTATATTAAGGCAAGTTTGATAAGACTAAAAAAGTGTACTTTTTGTCTTTTTGGACTAAAAAATTGAGGTTGAAAATATGGATGTTTGGGTTAACTTTTTGACTTTTTATTGAAAAATGTGTAATAAAAAATTGTAAAAATTGATTTGTAGGAAAAAATTTGAATTGGGAGTTGTGCAGCCGTAATTGTTGACTTTTGGTGAATAGTGTTAGCTTTTTAGCTTTTTGATTAACTTTTTGGCTTTTTAGTTTTTTTGGATCTTCCCAAACTTGGCCTAAAAATTAAAAAAATAATAATAAATAATAAATAATAATATAAAAAGAAAAATAAATAATAATCATAAACAAAAAAATAAAAAAAGATAGACGGATTGGGTCGGTTAGAATAGATGGGTTACTTGGACGCCCAACCCGCCAACCAAAAATAATAAAAAAATCACAGTTCGATGCGGTTTTGACGATTTTAGTGGTATTGTGCGCAGCTCTCCTTTCCACTTTGGCCTTTTATGTTTGCAATCCTTCTTACTTTACTCCTAAACTAACTTTCATCCAAAAAACTAACAGAATTTGTCACATTACTAACACACCAGCTCCATATGTGATGTAAAAAATTCACTAAAAATGTAAAAAAATAAAAAATAGAAAACAAAAAAACTAGAATTTTTTTTTGCCTTTAATGAACTTTTTTTTCAAATTTATTCATAAATATTATTACATTATAGATACATCTAGATTAGATGCACCAAAAAAAATAAAAACAAATTTAACTGAAAAAAGAAAAAAGTTTACCAAAGACGAAAAAAAAAAATATACTGACTCAAACACCTGTATTGTCAATTCTGAAAAGAAAAATTTACTATCATTTTTTTCATCTTTAGTGAACTTTTTTTCTTTTTTTAGTTAAATTTGTTTTTATTTTTTTAGTTGCATATAACCTAGATGCATCTATAATTTAATTATATTTATGAATAAATTTGAGAAAAAAAAGTTCACTACAGACTAAAAAAAAATTCCAATTTTTTGTTTTTTATTTTTTATTTTTTGCATCTTTAGTGAATTTTTTACATTACATATGAAGCTGATGTGCTAGTGATGGGACAAATTATGTTACTTTTTTGAATGGAAATTAGTCTAAGAGTAAAGTGGGAAGGATTGCAAACATGAAGGGCCAAAGTGGGAAAGATTACAAACATGGAGGGCCAAAGTGGGAAAAAATCAAACTTAAAGGGCCAAAGTGGGAAGGATTGCAAACAAGAAGGACCAAAGTGGAAAAATCAAACTTAAAGGGTCAAAGTGAGAAATGGACGAAACTTTAGGAGGGCAAAGTGTAATTTGGCGTTATTTCTAATATGCATACAAAACATTTTTGAAAAAAAGAAAAAGAAAAATCAATTTCATTCATAAGAAAAAAATCAAAACTCGCCCAGCACTTTTGCAGAACCAGGCCTCCGCTCGAGCGGCCAACTCCACGCTCGAGCGTACAACACTGCACAACAATTACTGGATGGGTATATTCCCCGCTCGAGCGCCCAAACCCCCGCTCGAGCGTACAGGCCAAAATCTGGGCAACTAGTTTTGGTTTGTAAACTCAACCAACCTGTAACAAACCCGCCCAACACATCCTATAACTCAAATACAAAGTAGGAAAGGATGTAAACAAGATAATAAACAACTATCAACATCCACGGACACATGTCCGGATCACTATACAACAAGGGTAAACCCGGGATCGCTATATGTCATGCATATCTAACCGTTCCTTTCACGTGTTTTGTCTTCATTGGAGCGTGTCTGTGACGCGCCTGAAAGCTATCTGTCATTCCTCTGCGCCGTCTGACGCGTGCGTTGCTCTAGGCGTAATAAATGCCCCATTTTTGCCGCCGTTTCACGTTTTTGACAAAACTCTTTCTTGCCTCTTTCTTTCTTCACTTTTTCTATTCTGATTCCTTACTCTTTCTCTCTGAAAGCTCTTTTTTCTTCGAATCTGCCATTGCTTCAATCTCTCTTCTGGAACTGTCCTTAATCCTCCATTCTTGCGAAGCTTTCTTTGTTGTCATAACTGTTTCTGAGCTCGGCGAATATTGCCCCGGCTTCATTTGGTCTGGTAAGATTCTGTTCTTTCATTCTTAATTCTCTTTATGTGCTTTTGTCTGCCTGTTGTTATTATTGATTTTGTTTAAAGCCTTGGTTCTGTTTGCATCTTGAATCGTGGCTACATCTTGAACTTTTGCACTATTTCACCATTTTTCTCGCCACTGTTCTTGATTTTTTCACTTTTGTATTTCTTTTGTTTCTGAGAACCTACCTCTGTTCTTGAATCTGAAACTTCGTCTTTGTTTTCTGTTTTTCGTACCTGCTCCAGATCTGTGCCTTCGATCTTTATCCTTACAGTTCATAGGTTTTGGGATTTGTTCTGTAGAACCTTTAATCTTTAGGGAAAACTGAAACAAATCTAAACAACATTTTCCTGGGTTTTAGCCAAGGTTCCAGCAATTCTTTAATTGTACCTCCTTTCTGTATTCCACACTTTAAACCTTAGGCCGACGTAATGGGTATGTGGAGACATAGGGTAAATACCCCAACAAAACTCGAGTACTTTAGGCAGGAATTCTCTATCCCAGCCGATGTTCATCTTAAGCTAGCTGGGGATAATGATACCATTATGCCCACAGACCATACGATGCCCTTTCCTATAGTAGCTTTCATCGAATGTGGACTTCGGCTTCCACTTGATCCCTTGTTTCGCGAAGTTCTTCATTTCTATAGGCTGAACCCCATGCAACTTACTATCAACTCCTACAGGGTGATTAATGGTATTATAGCTTTAGCTAGGCAGGAGAATCTTAGGATCACCCTGGGCGACCTTCAGTACTGCTATACAATGTGCCCCCTTAACCTGAAAGATAGGGGTTTTGTTTATTACCTGAAGCCGAGGTCCACTGAGTACAAAATTGTAGCCGACCTCCCAGACTCCAACAAGGGGGCTGGGGATGCCTTTCTTATTGCTTCGGGAAATTGGGAATTTGGCCCAGATGAAGATGTCCACCTCTACCCTCTTCCTCGAACAATTACAGAGGGCAAGGGTAAGAGCCCAGTGCCAACGCTTAGTTGTCTTTATTTAAGTCTTTAAAATTTGTTTGTTTCTAATGTCTGTTTGCTTGTTTTGCAGACCTTCATCAACCACCTAAAAACTTCCGTCAATCCTTCTTCCCTGGTAACGATTTAAAGAAGCTCCTTGGTCTTCCTATCCATAAGCGCAAGGCTCCCTTGTTGCTGAACTTTATCCCGACATATAAATCTACATTGCCCGACGTTCCAAAGAAAATGAAGAAAAGCCTTTCCCCGCCTACTGCCACAACTCAAACCACTTCAACATCACGAACAGACCAAGAGTCTACATCTGACCCTGTCGATCTTCCATCGACTTCGACTCCTTACTTAATACCAATCCCAGAACGCAAACGTCGACGAAGACTTGTAAAGACTACCGAGATGGTTCGTTCAAGGCCTGTCGTTCAAGATCTTCTTGTCGACCTTCCAACCGACGCCGACGCTGTACCAACGCAATCAATGCCCCCACCAAAGCCGAAGAGAGTTAAAAAGGCTCAGCCCAAGGCCAAGGTTACAGATGCCGAGGCTGAGGATGCTTTGCCTATTTCTAAACTGGCAGAAAGCAAAAAATCAGCCTCTACTTCCACCAAGAGGTCTGCTGAGGGCCAACCCTCAGGGTCTACGCAATCGAAAAAGGCGAGGTCATCGTCTGCGATGACCTCGGCTTCAAAGAAGCCTGACGTCCCCTGGGCTCCTCAACTAACTCTGGAGGATAGGCCCATCATGGCTAGTGAAAGTGCTGACGACATTAATGTTGGTGTCGCCCTCAAGACTGCGCTTCTTCTTCCCAAGGATTTAAATCGAAATGCTGACCTTAGTGAGTATGAGAATTACGCTCTCATGCTCTAACACTCCGTTCAAGTAAGTATTTCTGTTTGCACTCTGTGATTTGTCCTTCCGTTTCTTACTGAGAGTATTGTCTAACACTTCTGTTTTTCTGTAGGCCATTCAGCACGCCCATTCATTTTCAATGCAATCTTTTGAAAATCGTCAAAGATTGGTTGATATGAAGAGGGAAGCATCTTCCATGAAGAGAGAGATAAAGTCTCTTGAAGCAAAAATGAAAAAACTGGAGGATCAGGCCGAGGCTGCAACTAAAGCCCAAACTTTAGCTCTTGAGAAGGCCGAATCTGCTGAGGCCGTTAAAAAAGTTGCTGAGGCTGAGAAAAGAGAGGCCGAGGCTCAGAAGACTCAAGCGGAGAAAGAGCTCCAACAAGCTTTGGCCACCAAAGAGGGCGAAGTCAAAGAGGCCGATGAAAAGGCCTATGCCCAGGGTATGGCCGATGTCGCAGAAGACTATAAACTTCAAGTCAGGCAGGCATGCAACAGGGGATTTTCTCTTGGTTGGATGTCCCTGATAAAGAAGCTTGATCTTCCTGTTGACTCGCCACTCGCCATTGCGCCAGGCCGACGCTATTCCTTTACCATTTCCTCCACCTCCTCCTGAAGGTGAGTCAGAGACTGAGGCAGACGCTGAGGATGAGGATGAGGAGAAAAATGATGATGAAGCCTTGGTGAGGAAATCCAAGGATGGTGCTGAAGCCAAGTCCCCTCCTCCTGCTGAGCAGGTTATGGACTTAACCTTGGATGAGGAGGGTGATGAGGTCGAGGGGGCAACCAAGGAAATTGTCACTAAGGAAATTGTCACTGGGCAGCTATCGTCCGATCTTCTCTTGATAGAAAGAAGTGTTGAGACAACAATCGCAAAGATTGATGCCGAGATACAAGCGGAAAAAGTGGCCGACGAGGTACCACCGGAATCGTCCGAGGTCCCAGTCCCTGTAGCTGCTGATACTGAAGAGTCTTGATTTAAAATGCCTTTTGTACTTTGTACTCTGTACTTTCTTTTAATTTTCTGGATAA